AACTCCAAACAGCTCAGAAGCCAAGAACAGCGACTGAGAGGATTTCAACATAAGAATCCAAGAGATGGGGGAAGCACAAACATTAGGCCATGGTACCACTCTTCCCCACTTCTCCGACCTCTTTCAGACATTCGTTCATAGATCAGTAAGCAGAAGGAATAATCCACTGGCTGCTTCATAGCCTCCTGAACATGGTGGGCTATGTACAAGAAGAAGTCTCAGTGATGACTTGTAACTCCAGGACAATGGGACCCGTTTTGATTAGAGGCCTTGTTAGGGAAACAGGGTCAGGATTCTCTCCTGGTTTAGTAGTCAGGCTACAGAGCCTGAAAGGGCATCGCCTTTGCCAGTGGTGTGAGCTGTTTACTGTACAAGGCCACCAGCCTAAGTGTGAGAGGCAGGTCTATAACCCCAGAGGTCTGCATCACTCCCACAGGGTAGGGCTCTACTGCCAGCAAGGAAGCATGGCTTTAACTCCAAACTCCACAGCTGCAATGCCCGCTCTGATGCCCACTCACCTGAGAAGCCTGCAGAAACACCGGAAGGTTGCCCACAGAAGCATGTGAGTGGTAGAAAGCTCTGACACTTCTCAGTGTGAAGGTGAACTTAATTCCCCCAAGAAAAGCAGTCTTGAGAGAGCTACCATTTCGGAATCCAAATCAATTCTAGCTCAAATGTATCAAAGGATGATGTAATCATGAAGCGGTTTCTTTCAGCAGATTAACCTTGTTGAGTGTGTTTGCTAATTTTCTACAGTTAAAACCAAACATGTGGCCTCAGACTATTCCAAATAATTCCCATTAAAAATGGATAGATTTGTCAACAGAAGCTGTTTTGTTAATGACAAAAGAATAACAAAACAGGAATCCCATTACTGTACTTACAATTCAACATAGCTCTTGAGAGCATAGTTGATTCATTCAACAAGAACTCAACTGGCTTACCAGGAGTAGAAAAGTCAAACCATCCTTTGCAATCAAAATGATTGTTTATATTCAAAATCTAGGAGAGGCTATTGCAAACCCAATCTGACCTTCCATGGAGAGTCTCAGAACCAAATTATCCATGGAGGCTGATAAGGATTTTCAACATCACAAGATCTAGGATCACCTAGGAGACAAACCTCTCTACATGTCTGAAGGGAGTTTCTAGATTGGATTAAATGGAGGGAGAAGATGCATCCTACATGGAGGTGGTAGCATCCCAGGGGCTGAGGTCCTAGACTGGATAAAAAGGAGAAGATGAGCTGAGGACTCACTCATCTCTTTCTGCTTCCCTACTGTAGCTACAATTCAGCCAGCTTCGTTCAGCACAACAGACAGTGATCTCAAGCTGTGACCCCAAGGAAACCCTTCCTCCCTTATACTGTCGGGTATTCTGACAAAGCAATTAGAAACGTCACTAATTTATTATCTAAGACAAATGAAGAGAGCAGGGAGGCCTGACCTGAGAGTAAACCTCTATACAAAGCTTTGTAATAAAGATACGATACATGCTTAGAACAAGACACACACAAGAACATGGAGTCTACAGATGTTCACACGGGCATAAAGAGACGCGACTAAAATGGTTCTTGGGCAGCAGGGGCTAAAAATGTATCTATCCTAGGATGGCTCATCTCTGTGGTCAACTTGACTGGACTGAGAAATGTCTCGGATTAGTGAAGACCCTGGGTGTGTCCATCGTGTGTTTCCAGAAAGGACTGATATGTAGGACAGTGCCTGAGTGGGGAAGCTCCCCTGAATGCATGCTGCGGCATCCATTAGGATGGGAGGATAGATGAAAGAGAAGGGGGAAAAGAAGGAAGAGGGAACCAGCTCGTGGTGGGAGCCCCCTTCTTGCGGAACAAGTCCCCTGTCACTGGTACCACCAAGCAAGAACGTGAGACAACAGCATCTTCAGCCTTTCCCGTGCAAACGACACCAGGGAGTTTCCAAAGCTTCAGCATCAGACTGGGGACTTCAGCGTTTATAGACATATACATACAGGATTTATATACACATGCATATATGTTCCGTTCCTCTAGAGAATCCTGACTGACGCATAAGCAGACCCCAAAATCACATCACACACAGAACTAACCCCCGGGTGGCTTACAGCCCTTAGTATGACTGACTGGAAAATGCCAAGGCCATGCTTAACAAGCTCACATTTTCCTTTTAGCTCCAACTCCTCTTTGTTCTATTCTCTCTTTGGGATTGAACCCAGGGCCTCGGGCATGTAGGCAAGCACTCTGTTACTGAGCTACCTAGCTCCGTTCCTGAACCCTCGTACTGTCATCTGTGCTAAGACTCAAGGAGGAAAAGCTGACGTTCCAGGAAACAGGACAGAGATGGGAATCTTAAAACACAATTGCACTCGAAGGTCTTTTTGACCCTAAGAACTAACCACCACCTTCCTCGCACACCAAAGAAAGTCATGGTAAGCTCCTGATTCAGGCAACACCTTTGTAAAAGCCCACTTAGAATCCAGTTTTGAAAATAAACTTCATAGCTTCTCAAAGAACGTGTGAATAATTAAAATCCACGGGACAGAAATGCCCACATGAGAATCCCTATGAAGGACACCGTTCGTGGTAGAGTATGATTTAACCTTTAACATATGTTCATCTTGTCTCAAAATTAAATAGCTAACAGGGAAATAACAGTGTGGTTTTTTTCTTCTATCTTAGAACTTCCTTTCTTCTAGGTTAACAGCTGTCTTTACTGTTACTGTTGTTTCAGCTGATTAAAAACAGTAACAAACCACTGTGAGGGTATTCATTTCCAGAGCCAATTTTAGTGAGGTTGCTAATAAAATGACAGCTATTCTAACAAAGCTGTTTACTTTCTTATTTTAAAAGGAACAGGGCTTTAACTTTATACTCATCTCCCTACTTGCAAAACCATCTCACATGAGAAACCAATTTGATACTCACCTTAATCTGTCTGCTAACTGAATCACAGCAACACATCTGTGTATTCTAGCTATCTGGGGGACAAAATAATCATTTTATGTTACCAAACATTACTCATGACATGACAAGTTCATTACACAAACCCACCTGAAATGGGAAAATTATGAAAGAATGTTTCAAAAATGGGGAAACTATCCCACAATGTAACTAGCAGAGGGAGCCGGGGAGTGTGAGCATGCAACAGTATCCACTGCTTTTGAGAGCAGATGGGGGGTATAAATCTTGATTGAAGTTAGGATAACCAGAGACCTAATATCATAAATAGAGATAGGATATTTCCTTCTAAAGCTAATAGAACAAAGCAATGTAATTTGTCTATAAATAAATGCAATTTCCTGAAAGAGGTGTCCACCCAAAGTCTAAAGCACTTAGTGTGACTTCTCTTGAAAATAAGAAATGCTGGCTATGGGAGACCTAATTTGCATACCTAGATGAGTTACTCTGGGAATCACAGCAGATCATAGGATCCCATTTAAAATGGACATCTCTTGTCTAAGAGAGTATATTGGAAAATATTTAAACCACAGAGATTGAGACTTAGGAAAGGAAAGGTTGGTTATGACCGGCCCAATCCCTGGAGCTTAGTAGGCAAACCAGAACATCCCAGTATAAGATCCCAAGCCAGTTCGCTGGTGCACATTCCCATCTCAAGCAAAGGGTGGCACAAGAATAATCGTAGAACCCACCATCTGGGGATACTTTATGTAATTCACCAATAGAAGGACCCACAAACCCAAAGAGAAAGGGCTAATAGATTTACAAACACACAAATGTCTCTGAGGATGCCTTAGGAGTTTTGCTATTGAAAAGAAAAATCTCCTTCCTTTCGGAAGAAAAAGGATGTGGTGGCTCAGATGAGAAATGTCCCTCGTAGTCGCATGTATTTGAACACTTGGTCCCTAGTGGGTGGGACTATTTGGGAAGGTTATGACATCTTCAGTCCTGATGAAGGAAGTATGTCACTGGGAGCAAGCTTTGAGGGTTTATTGCCTCGCCCCTACTTTGTATACTTTGTATATTCTCTCTTTCTCTCTCTCTCTCTCTCTCTCTCTCTCTCTCTCTCTCTCTCTCTCTCTCTCTCTCTCTCTCTCTCTCCCCCCCCCTGCCCCACCCACTTCCTGTGTCTGGACAAAATATGACCTGTCAGTTTCCTGCTCTAGCCACATGGGACCATGCCTTCCCTGCCATTATGGTCTCTCCCTCCAGAACTGGCAGGCAAAGTAAACTCTTTCTTTCTCATTGTTTTGGTCACAGTGTTTATTCCAGCAATAGAAAAGGAACCAGTACAGAGGATAAGTAAGGTGAACAAGTCTTTTAGGATTCAGAGACGGATAATGGTGGTAGCCACAGCATGGGCAGAGTGACCCAAGGTCCAATGCAGTGTGGTAGGGCCAGGAGCATCACTCTCCTAGCTCATACACACAAAACGTGATGGAAACAAGGAACAGGCTTAGAAGTGACCGTGAGGGAACCAGCCCCCACTTTCACCACCAAAGTACTCTTGAGCAGGGAAAAGTGAGGAATATTTAGTTATAAAGAGATACCTAGACAACGAGAGGAAAGACAGAAACACAGGACAGCCTCAGGAGGGCCTGGGTCAAAACTCACCAGCCTAGAACTTTATTCAAAGGGGCTTTTTATAACAATGTCAAGGGGTGAGGCAAGAAGACCTCCCCCTGCTAGATACAACCAAGTGTAGACCCTTCCAAACACCTGGTATCCAGGCCCATGGCCCAATCATCCTCTTATGCAGTGCTGCTGGGTAAAGCCACTAGGAAACCTCGGTGGCACCAATAAGCGACACTATAATAGTAGCACGTCCTTTACATTCATTTCCACCACTGTTTCTAGTGATGTGTAATTGTCGTAGAATGTTAGTACTGGAGCCACATTAACTAACTTAATGTGATCCTAACAGTGAGAGAAAACACCCAACAAACTGCTCCATTAAGATGAACGAAGTCAAGGCTCTAGCGTCCACCAGGCAGACAGCAGCCACAGTTCTCGATGCCATAAACATTCGCTAGATACTGGTCTCACAAACCTTGACCTTCCCATGATCGTCAGAGGCACCAATTTTGGCCAACATCGACTTCACAAGATGTTTCTCCCATTGATCCTAGCTTCCAATTAACAATGTTTGGCTTTTATTTCATTTCATTCGCTTTTGTGACTTCAATCTTATTTTCTCCTCAGCCCCAGAAAACAAACACGCTAAAATTCCTGTTGAAAAACAAGAAAAGAAGAAAAGAAAAAATGCTCTCCTGATGTCAACTTCTTTGTCTTCCCCTTTTAAACCCCTCTCCCCAACCCTCCCTTTCAAAGCCGCTAAAGAAACTGGGTTTATTGCTTATGTGTCCCTGCATATGCACTATGGTATACCCCACCCCAAAAAATCTTTGAGAAAAGACCATTTGCCTTTAAATAAGGACATTTTTCTGTTCTTATCTTACTTGACCCTTCAACTTCACTGTACATTGTTAATTATTCTCCTTTCAAACTTGCCTTACTCGTGACGCCATGTTCCCTTGATCCCTACCCACTCCTCAGATGCCTTCTCAGGCATCTTTGCAAGGACCAGGAAAAGCTGGTCCACCTCTAGTTCTTTACTTACCTTTTCCTCGACTATCTCTATCCACTCTTCCTCTGTCCATCTTAAATACACCAATGAACTCCACATTTAGACAATTTTAGGATAATGATTCTTAAACATGTGTACTTATGCCAGGACATTCCCTACTATTTCAACTGACCTGTCTATCACTTAAGGGCTTCAAATATAAAAAATACTCCAAATAGAAGTTGGTATTTTCTTGTGACAAATACGTCATTAGATCTTGCCATTTCTACTTCTCAATAGGTTTAAATTCATTCTCTCTCCTGGAGCATTTATGTTCACTTAGTTCAAGTCACCACCACCCCCAGACAAGTACAAGGATATTTAATCTTATTTTGCTTCTCTGCCCCTCTTCAATTTAACCTCCCATGATCTAATACAGAACCATGGAAATCCTTTCTATTGTCAAGGATCTGAAGGGAGGAGGCCAACAAGATGCTCCCTGATTTGGACTCTGCCTCAGTCTCGAGCAAGTCTTCCACTGTTGTCCAACAGAACTACTCAGTTTCTAGAAAACACCAGGCTATTTTGTGTCCTTTTGCATCCTGTTTCACTGATTAAAATGGCCCTTTCCATTCCCTATCCACAAAGTCAACTCTTTTATCTTTCAATCTTCCAGTGCGGGTCAAAGTCCCAGAAGTCTCCTCTTTCCTCATTCCCACACACACCCATCACCCTTGGCACGGAGTTGGCTGTACCATCCTGTATGCCAACACCTCTGCACCTTGTACATTACAGCATTAATCACACTGACTTCTATCGTCCGGGCATCAACACTTGAACCTTGAATATCTTAAAGATGGAGAGATCACCATAATTAACCTTTTCAACCAGATGCTCAGGGCTGGCATACTAACAGGGCTCGGGGAAGATTGCTAACTAATAAGAAGAGGGATGAAGACATGTGACCATCAGAAGTAAAAGAATGAACTAAACTGGCTTAACCACAAACCAATATTTAAACGTAACTGTTGCCTGGAATGATGTCACACACCTCTAATCTTAGCACTTAGGAGGCTGAAGCAGGAGGATCATGAGTTTGAGGCCAGCCTGGGACTACACATCTCCAGTTCCAGTTTAGCCTGAGCAACATAGTAAGATTCTGCCTCCAAATTTAAAAATAAACAACATGACCCACTACTATTTCCTGACCAGTGAATTACCCAGCATTCATGCATGCGGAAGTATCACATTACACAAGAAGCAAAGGGTTGGCAATATAAGTCACTGGCAATGCAAGAACCTGCCTGGTCAATCCTAGGCGTTCCATTTCCAATGGTCACCAGGAAGGAAAGGGAAGACACAAATCACTGGGAAGGTGCCTCTAAAAATGGCTCTGCAGTTCAATTCCCAGCACCCATACGGCAGCTCAAAACCGTCTGTAACTCCAGTTCCAGGGATCTGATGCCCTCTTCTGCCCTCCACAGGCACCAGGCACACATGTATACACATGCAAGTAATCCATCATACACATAAAATAGCTTCTTAAATAAATAAATATGGGGAAAGTAGAAGTCAAAAGACCAGAATGGCTGTTTAAAGAAGTTAGCTGAGATGTGTAGAGTCTGAGACTGTGCAAGTGTTTGTTAATCTAGGTGAATGATGTTTTTATAAGTGCTTTCATTAGGTAATTTTTATTTAAAAAATGTTTAGCCGGGCGGCGGTGGTGCACGCCTTTAATCCCAGCACTCGGGAGGCAGAGCCAGGCGGATCTCTGTGAGTTCGAGGCCAGCCTGGTCTCCAAAGCGAGTTCCAGGAAAGGTGCAAAGCTACACAGAGAAACCCTGTCTCGAAAAACCAAAAAAAAAAATGTTTAAAGACTAGGAAAAGGTTTTGGGACCCATACTAAGGCTGTGCAGTAGAAATAAAGAGAAAAACCAGAAAAAAAAAATGGCTCTGCAGTAACCTTCTTCCCTAGCACATCCCCCAAGTCAGCTGTTCTTCTGTGGCAAACCTGCCCTCCTCATCATAAGGTCGTCCTTGCCTGTATCCACATCCACAGTACCCAACCCATGCCAGGGCAGCTCCAAACTCCAAGCTACGTCAACACACACACACACTTCCCCCAAATTATCTGGCTATATATAAATCATACCACCAAACTGGTACCTAGGCAAGCAACTTAAACAAATGTTCCATTCACTAGAACAGGATATGATTTAAAAAAAAAAAAAGTCTTAAGTGATCTAAACAAAAATTAAAGGCTTATAACATCTTAGAATAGGAAGAGTATATTTTATCATAATGCAAAATATTTTTTAAAAAGGTTAATAAAAGAAACCACACAAACAGATAGGGCTACTTTCTATTTAAAGGGAAGGACGGAAGGAAAGGAACACACCATAGGGAACATGCTTTGTATCTTAGATAAACTACTAATACCTTGAAAGTTGTAAAAACAAGAGCTATATTATTAAATATACAAGCTAAACAAAAGCAAGTTGTAAAATGATAATCCTAATTGAAAAATTGATAAGCACAAACAAGAAATATATGTGAAATACAAATGGTCAATAAAACCAGAAAAAAATGTGCTTTTTGATTGATCAACAGAATCTAAATCTAAACTTAAATCTAAAGTGCAATTTCTCCCAATCTATTGATTTTTCTTATCAATTTATCCAATAATGTGAGGAAGGATTCTGTGAGACAGAGTCTTTCATTCCTTCAGGCTAATTCTGGCACTGTCTACTAAGAATCAGCCAGGTACACCATTTGACCTCCCAATTCTGCTTCAAGGTATTTCCTGTGGGAGATAATCAGCCATCTACGCTGGCATATCTAGATAAGGGTATCATTACAAAACTGACCGTCAAACCAAAGGCAACGTGACAGTCTGAAGAACAGGATTATTTAGTAAATAAAAATATATTCCAGGCACTGGAGAGATAATTCAGTGGTTACAAGAACTCACTGCTCCTGTAGAGGACCTAGATCGGTTCCCAGCAACCAAATGGCAATTCAAAACTATAACTCCAGTCCCTCGGGATCTGATGCCGTCTTCTGACCAACATGGGCTCCTGTACACACTTAGTGTGTATAAACTCATGCAGCCGTATACAAACACACATAAAAATAAATCATTTTACCAAATGCATTCAGAGGATGAAATACGTTCTGTTATTTTAAGAAGTGACACTGTAGATGTCTTTCCAGGAATATTAAGGGCCAAATCCTTCCAGCACTAAAGCATCTGAACTTGCTGAGTGCACACGCGCATATGAAAACCCACAAGCAGGTACCTGTGCAGTTTTCAGCCAAGTCGGCAAAAGTATCGAGTCTCCAAGGAAACAAAGTATGTCAACCAATCAGCTGAGGTAAAAGAAGGCTGAATGCGGCCAATGTCAGGATCCCAATCCCAGTAGTTAACTTTTAGTTCTGATGTTTACAGGCAGAAACCAGGACAGTCAGATCAAAGATCCCTGCAACAAGCTGGGTGTCAACAGGTGAAGCAGAGACGTAAACACAGATGTGTGTCACAAGGGATGGGGCACACAAGTGTGACTGCCTCGGGACTCAGATGAAAGTTGCAAAGAATTCCCTGAGAACTTACAGCCAGACATCTGCTATTAATTAATTGGAGACTGGAAATGCATCTTATTCGTCTGGCCCACAAAAAACTCAAAGTGAAAATTGAAACTGTAGCGCCCATGGGTTGAAGCAGAAGCAAAGGCATATTCTTTCCAAACTGATTCACCTTAAGTCCTCTATGCCCAGAGGGGAAAAAAATCGCATAAGCTTATACAGACATGGAACAGGGTCAGAGGCAGGAAGGAGGAAGGCGTTGGGGCTGGAGGGGCACAAAACATTTGGAAACAAGCCAGCACATACTGAAGTCATCAAAGCCAATACATGCAAAGTCTATACACACCGGAGTTGTCAGAAACGGTTTATAAAATGATAACGTAAAAGAAGACAATATTTTAATAATTATTAATAGGATGATAGATTTAAAATTATTCCATTTGAAAACGGCCCATCAAGATGGCTCAACAACATAAAGCTGCTTGCTAAGCTGATGACATGAGTTTGATCACCTGAGCCCACCTGGTGGCAAGAAGCAACTCCTGATTCGGGCAGGTTGTCCCTGACCTCCCAAAGCACGCATGGCCACCCCTTACACACAAATAAATAAATAAATAAATAAATGTTGACAAATCGAGAATGATTCAGAGTTTCCAGAGAAGGAAAGTATCATATTTATTCGGGGAAACTCAACAGAGAATAATACATACAACAGAGAGCAGCTGAAGAGAGAATTAATGGTCTAGAGTTTTACTGAGAAGAAATTATACAAGGCAGTGAACAGTGGCAGAGAAAAAAACCTGAAAGCGAAGTGCAAAGGCAGGAAGTGTTGCAGCCTCAGAAACATCTAAGCAGAGACCCAACCTACAGAAGCAACAAGAGTAAAGAAATATATTTTTTTTTAAATCCCAGAGACCATGCACGGCTCATGCCTGTAATTCCAGCACTAGGGAGACGGAAGCAGAAAGACTTCCATGAGTTTGAGGCCAGTTTGGGATACATAGAGTTCAAAGCTAGCCTGGGATACAGGATGAGATATGTCTTTAAAAATAAATAAATAAATAAATAAGCAAACAAAGTC